TCTCGGAAGTGGATATTTATTCTTGATAGTCACCTTATTCAACTGCTGATAATTAACATAAAACCTCATAGCACCATCCTTCTTCTTAACTAACAGCACATGAGCACCCCATAGAGAAACACACGGTCGAAAAAATTTCTTCGCAAGTAATTCTTCCAATTATTTATTTAATTCACTTAACTCAGAAGCAGACATCCGGTAAAGAGCCATTAACACCAGACTCATTCTTGGTATTAAGTGAACCGTAAACTTTACTTCACGCTCTAGAGGCAAGTCACTCATGTCATTCAGAAACACCTCTGGAAATTCAAGGATAACGGGTAATTTGACACGCGCAGCTTCACGGTCAACTTGCAATGATGCAAACAGTGAAAACATTAAGGCTTCATCTTCTAGGAGTTCGTCTACTTTCTTAGCAGATAAGAACATCAACTCTCCATTATCACCAAACTCAAGAAACTCCACAGTCTTATTATAATAGTTAATATGAATATAGTTAAACTCCAACCAATTCATTCCCAGGATTACATCAATTTGGTGTAAGGGTAAACACGCCAAATCCATCAGGAAACTCTTTCCAAATATCGTTAAAGGACATCTCGAACACACAAAAGTAGTAGTGATAGAACCATTAGTAGGGGTTTCTATCACCATGCTACCATTCATATCAGACAATTTCAAACCCAACATAGTAGCACCTTCAAGAGAAATAAATGAATGAGTAGCACCAGTATCAATAATAGCGACCAACTTAACATTGTTAATAAAACAAGTACCTTGGATCAAGCTACCTTTCTTGGAAACTTCTGAACCACTCAAAGCAAACACTCTGCCATTAGTCTGAGCAACAACAACAGTCTTCTTCGGCTTCTGACACTAGATACTGATGTTACCTTGTTCACCACAGTTGAAACAAGTCGGACCTTCATCTTTGCAACCAGTAGCTTTATGGTTTCTCTTACCATATATGTAACACCTCAACACACTATTGTTGCAAACTTCAGCACGGTGGCCTTTTTCGCCACACCTGTAACACTTAACAGAAGCGGGAGCTGCTCCCCCACTTTTCTTTTTCCCATTTGAAGCCTTTTGTTTCCCTTTATCAACTGGAGTCACGTAAGGCTTTCCTCTAAATGGTCCCTTATTTTTCTTCTCACTAATATGCTTGTAGTAAGCAGATCGAGCTCGGGTATCCGCGTCATAAATCTTAATCTTATCCATCAATTCAGCATACCTGTGAATCTGTTGGTATCCAATGCCTTGCTTGATCTTTGGTCTCAGTTCATTCTCAAACTTGAGACATTTAGACATATCAACATCCGTGCGGTTGTAATGCGGACAAAACTTCACCAGCACCTCGAGTTTTGCAGCATACTCTGCCATAGTGATGTTTTCTTGCTTCAATTCAAGGAATTTTATTACCTTCTTGCCGCGAACATCCTCAAGAAAATACTTTCCAAAAAATTCTCTATTGAATATAGACTAAGTTATTTCAGTACCAATTTCAATCTCTGACGGGTATTATCCCACCAATCTCGAGCCTCTTCCGACAATATATGAGTGCCAAATTGTACCTGATGCGCGTCAATGCATGCCATCACTCGGAATATCTTCTTGATCACTTTGAGCCACTTCTGCGCACTCTCTGGATCATGGGTTCCTATAAAAGTTGGAGGGTTATTACCTCTATAACTTCCCCAAAGCATGAAATCCATTAGGAGCCCCTCCATTTTGATTATTCTGAGTCATCACTTAACCAAGTGATTCCAACGCATCAGTGATAGCACGATCGGTTCTTCCAGCCATTATGTACACCACCAACAATGTTGGAAGGAACAAACCATCGACAGTGTACCCACACTCATCGACTAACAGGGGACTGACATCATACAAAGATTCTCATGAAGAAAAACTCGCCGCAGAAGGTGTCCGATTTCCACCACAACATCGTCGAAGAGGTCCGATCAGGAGGTGTCCTCCACAAGGCCTTACTAATTAGGCACAACGCCAGAGTCATATGGCTAGACTTCTAAGTGAGTAGTCTCGTCCTAAGGAGAAATCACAAAGATTCTCGTGAAGAAAAACTCGCCGCAAACTATAAAGGACCCCATCACGTTCGAGCAAAAACAGAAAATAGGGTCTACTACCTAGAACATCTTAATGGGGAAAAGCTAAAACAATATTATAGCTAAGACCATAATCGTCGGCGTGCTACGTCGACACGACGAGTATAATATGCTAACCAGAAGTGCACATCCAGGTACAAGCGTTACATACTAAAAATAACTCAAGGCAAACTTTTTCTCTTGAATGGACAAACCCCTTGCCCGACATCGGTCCCTCGGTCGAGCCCGCCGTGGCCAACGTACCACAAAAGGTAGAACACTCAGCTCGCGACGGGAAGTTCACGTTGCGAACTCAGGCCACAAACGCGACCTGAGCTCCGCTCTCGTGCCCGAAAATAACTTTGGCCTTTCGACAAGTTCCCCCCACTATCGAACATCACTTTGTCGAGCGAACTCTAAGACTTAACCAAATTGTTCACTTAAATGACCCATACAATGGACACAAGTAACGAGCAACATGTGACACTTAGCAAATTTAAAGCAAAGTAATAACATGCACAAATCATACACAACTAAAAATAAATATTAACATAAGACGGCCGCAAGGGCCGCAAGTGTACTTGTTACAATAAAAAGGGACCACACCCCATACAAAATAAATAAATTACAAGATTACGACATGAAGGATGGAAGTACTACGAAAAGAAGACTAGTCGACCATAGGCTGAGCCTCGTCACGGGCAGGCTGCCCTTGCTCCTCGGAAAATTTGAGGAAGTCTGGGATTACAATTTGGCCATCTACCACGCTGTAGAGAAACCCGGTCCCCTCGGTAGACAACTCGACCCCGGGGTTCACTATCTTCAGCTGCCTTAAGACGTTGTTGAAAGCCTTCTCGGTACAGTCCTCCTCAGCCTGATTAATACGGGCAACAAGCTCGGCTCAAGTCTTCAGACTCTTCACCTCATCGTTTTCGTCCTCAGCATGAGCGGTTGAAACCCTCAACGATGAACAATCTCCTCCGCAACTTTCTTATGTGCAGCCGGTGTGTCCTTCTCCTCGGTAACCTTGACCAGCTCATCCTTGTATTTCTTCACAGCCTCCTCGACAAACTTCTTCGTCGCCTCCTCTATGGTCTTTAGCTTTTCTTCTAGATCCGTATTCGCGACCTAGGACATTTTTAGCTCCACTTCTTAGAGAGCCCCCTCCTCGGTGTAGACCACCTCCATGCCTAAGACCCTCATCAGGGCAACGACATCTTAGACCAGCACCGTCCTCTTGCTCGGGCGGTCGCTCCTCGAGGTGCAAAGACTCCTCCCGAAGAACTGAGAGGGAGGAACCTTCTACTTCGGTATAGAGAGCATGAAGGCATGTCAAACTTGCTCTTCTCCCCCTCACGAGTCAGGTGGAGGATCTCGCCCGTCTAAGGACGCTTAACCCGGGAAGTTACCGGCAACGAGGAATTCTGGGCAGCCGCGGCTCCGGAGGTTGAAGTCTCCGTTCCAGATATGTCTGGTAGCATGCTTCTGGCACTCGATCAACTAGGTATTCTCCTAATGCCTCTACCTCAGCATCCGCAATAGCCCCACCTTCCAGAGGTGACACTCGATCAACAACATCAACAGTATGAAGTGGGACTTGATCAATAACATCTACAGTAGGAGGTGACATTGGTGAAACTTGATGCCTACGAGAGTATGGAGGGAGTGATGCGTCAGATGGTGAATCTCGTCTACTACGGGAAGAAGAAGATGGAGTGGCATAAGAAGAAACACGAGCCTTAGAAGTATATGACTCTGCCTGGCCAGAGGGATCAGGAGCCTCCAGGACATGCTAACTCTTCTCCCGTCGCATAAATGCATGTTAAACAATCTTCCCGTGCCTCAATCTATCGTGTCTATTAACTATTATACTTATAAGTTAAAATAAAGCAGACCATTAGTGTAAGCAAATAATACAAGTAAGAAAATAAATAAAAATTGCAAACAATTCTAGAGATGCATTTTCGGAATCTTAAGAACTAAAACGTTGGAAAAAAATTAAGAGATGCATCTCCGAAATTTTCTGCAACTTAGAAGTTGCGTCAATAGCGTCAATGTACCCCATGCAATCTCAAAAAGACTTGTTTTCATCATCATTTTTCATGTAACAACTGTCTAATACACTATGTCTAAACTATCTTAATGTTATTTCTACTCATTTCTAACTCTAATAATCGATTTCTACTCATTTACACAAAAATTTAAAAATTTATCAAAAATTCAAAAAACTTACAAGAAATTAATGTTTTAAATGTTAGAGATGACGATTCAAATATCGTTAAGCTTTGATGATTGAGTTTTGAGTTAGTGCAGAAAAAAATTTGAGACAATTTAAAGATTAGTTTGAGTAAGATGAGAAATGAGAAAGGAGAATGATTAAATGCGTTTTAACCTCCAAAAAATTTCGAAGCTGCATTTTCAAAATATTTTAACGTTAATTGACATTTTTATGCATTCAAAAATACATGTCCAACAACTAAAAATACATTTAAATAATTTTGCATAATGATTAAAAATCATACGAGATGGATCAAGAATTCCTAAAAAAACAGATAATCCAATTTTAAACTTTACATAAAATAAAATTTCTATATCTAAATTATTAAATTATTAAAGTTGAAGTGCTTATAAAAATGTAGTCTATAATTTTCGAAAATTGAAGTGAACCAGAGTTTATATTCACTTCTATGTAGTATTACGGATTACACTAAAAAAAACATCTGTTCCGGTTTTTCTTTTCCATCCCCTCGCGCGCGACGATGCGATTCCATCTCGATTTCTGGCCGCGATAACCGCCGACGATGCTATTCCATCTCGATTTCTGGCCGCGATAACCACCGCCGCAATTAGCCACGCACCACCGAATCGCGATTCAAGGAAAGTACACTAGGACCAATGACTACTCACAAACTTTCTCCATGTTTTCAAGGTGACACCTTTTTTCTCCCGCTATTACCTTAAAATATATTTGTTCAATTTATACATTTTTCAATATATTACAGTGTTCGTGTTTGTGTCCGCAGCTTCGTAGAAGTCTAATTGATTGTTAAATGTTAGTAATCCACTGGTTTATTGTTAATGTGTTATTTCTGCTTACAGCTCCAATCTGCAACTCATTCAGCATATCGACGATTTCGGAGCTGTTGAGTAAACAGCACTGGTCAGAGATCAAACCTCATCTAAGGCTAACCAAACCTGCAACATTTTTAGATCAATTACTTAATTCCGGTATCGATTCCGACCTTGTTTATAGGTTCTTTAATTGGTCTCAGAAAGAGTTTAAATTTTCATTTGATCTTGAACCAACTGCCAAAGTTTTATATTCTCTAGCGAATTCGAAAAGGTACTCTAAAGTTAGGTCTTTTCTGGATAGTTTTGTTAAAAATAGGAAACATACGGTTTCATCTGTTTTTCAATCCCTTTTGTTGGGCGGTCGTCGATCCGGTGCTACTGTTCTGATAATCGATATGTTGGTGTTAGCGTATGTTAGAAATTTGGAGTTGCATTCTGCTTATGAAGGGTTTAAGCGAGCTCAAGATTATGGATTTAAATTATCGCTGACTTCGTGTAATCCGTTGTTGAATGCTTTGGTGAAGGAGAATAAAATTGGTGATGTGGAGTATGTGTATAAGGAGATGATAAAGAGAAGAATTCGACCGAACTTGAACACGTTTAATATTTTCATTAATGGTCTTTGTAGAGGTGGTAAGTTGAATAAGGCGGAGGATGTTATTGAAGATATGAAGGCGTGGGGAGTTTCGCCGAATGTGGTTACATATAATACTCTTGTCGATGGTTATTGCAAGAGGGGCGGTGCTGGAAAAATGTACAAAGCTGAAGCTATTATAAAGGAGATGGTTGATAATAAAATTTGTCCGAATGAAGTTACTTTTAACACTCTTATTGATGGGTTTTGTAAGGATGAGAATATGTTGGCTGCAGAGAGGGCTTTTGAAGAGATGCAAAAGCAAGGATTGAAACCTAATACAGTTACTTATAACTCGCTGATAACCGGTCTTTGTAATAACGGTAAGCTAGAAGAGGCGGTTGATTTGTGGGATAAGATGGTTGGATTGGGTTTGAAGCCAAATATTGTAACTTATAATGCTCTTATAAATGGGTTTTGTAAGAAGAAGATGATGAAGGAAGCAAAAAGGGTTTTTGATGATATAACCGAGCAAGAGTTGGTTCCCAATGCTATAACATTCAATACTATGATTGATGCGTATTGTAAGGAAGGGATGATGGAGGAAGGGTTTGCACTGCGTAGTTCAATGCTTGATAAAGAGATTTTGCCGAATGTTTCAACCTATAACTGCTTAATTGCAGGCCTGTGCAGGAAACGAGACTTACAGGCTGCAAAAGAGCTTCTAAGTGAAATGGAGAACAATGGTTTAAAAGGCGATGTTGTAACATACAACATCTTGATAGACGGGTCCTGCAAAATAGGAAAATCAAGAAACGCAGAAAAGTTACTTAATGAAATGATCAACCTTGGTTTGAAACCTAATCATGTGACATATAATACTTTGATGGACGGTTATTGTATGGAGGGGAATCTTAAGGCAGCGTTGAACGTGAGGACGCGTATGGAGAAAGAACGAAAGCAGCCGAATGTTGTTACTTATAATGTATTGATTAAAGGGTATTGTAAAATTAACAAGCTAGAGGCTGCAAATGGTCTTCTTAATGAGATGCTGGAAAAGGGTTTGAATCCAAACCGTAATACATATGATATAGTAAGATTGGAAATGTTGGAGAAAGGCTTTATTCCTGATATAGAAGGACACTTGTATAATATCTCTAGCATGTCTTAACAAGAACTTAAGTTGATAGATTAGATTTTGATTATCAGTGTATTATTTATCTACTGTTTAAATTCAAAGAGATAAATATCAACTTGTGCATATCATTTTTTTTGCTGAGAAAAGTAGAAATAATGCATATACTTCAGCTCTATTATTGACTGGTAAAATACAATATCGTTGTATTTGCATATATATATACGAACAATAAATTTATATTTAAGCTGAATTAAAATCTGTAGCTCTCACAAAAAGAAGCCACGAATCACGCGCCACCAGTAGATACCTTGCTCCACAGCAGTACTCATGAATATACTAAACTATACTAGTAGCTAAAAGAAAGATGATCTGATTAAAAATCAACTGCACAACCTGCAAGATAAAAAACAATGAAATTAACTTTGTGGAAAACATACACAAGAAGTGTGAACATAACAAGGAAGTAAGCGCACAACATTTTAAGGAAGACTTAAAGAATTACTTTAGCTGAACCAAGACGAAGAGTGTCGAAGACCGTCTTAAGGAATGAAGATACTTGAACCACTGATATTGACAGCAATTAATAGTGCCATGCAGGTAATCACAGCAAGCCAAAATAAAGCTGACCCTGCATTTCAAAATTTTTATTTTCGTCATGAATACGAGATGCTTATGAGTCTTATAAACATTCAGATGATACATATCCATGTTAGACAAGGTTATATTAGAGATATACGAGTATGGTACCTCCAGAACCTTCAGAATTATCAGAACTAGAAAGAGTTGATTCCACATTGGCAACAGGAGATTTTGATACTTTAGGCATTGCACATAATACATACCTCTCCTGTACCTACGTGGATTATCATTATGACTAGAGTCTCTCAAGAGCTAGAACTACACTTTATCCCTTTTGAATTTTGATGTTTCAATTTTTCATGAGACTGATTATTTTGATGGTTTGTTTGTTAATGTTCAGCAACATGATGCGGTATCATATATTAATGATTCTCTAAAAGAAGGAGCTGAAATTTCTTCTTTTTGTAAAAATGCCCTTGGAAGAGATGGAACTGGTGCAACCTATTGGTAATTATTTGAATATGTTCCGATATCTTCATGATTATTGTTATCATAGAATCCCCTCACTGTCAATCTGTCTGACTATGTTTATCTTAGGTACGATGCGAATACTAAAGCACAGAGTCACAGATTGTACAGGGAAACAATCACATCAGTCTCAACTCCAAACCGTAAAGTCAAAGGCTGTTTATCACTTCCCAACTTTCAATGGGAAACACTTGCCTCCAATCTTGAAGAATTTTGTCTTCCTTGATTTACCCATATTTGAAACCTTAATTAACTGTCTTTGAATGTTATTTGCAGGAAAATTTATCATCTAGCAAGTCTCATGTGGAAGTTTTTATTGGCAAGAAGCTTCAGAGTGAAGCTATTCCTGTTCTTGAGAAAATTCAAAAGGTATATACATCCTATTGATTATTGCTAGATATGTGTCTGTTTTATAGAGAAAACCCTTTATTTGTTTTCGATATTTACATAATGTGATGTTACTTTCAAATTATGCAGAAGAAAGAAAAAGCAATGAAACAAAAAGAGAGACAGGATAAGCTCTTAAAAGATTTTCACAACTCTTATTCTTCTGGAAATGCACGCCTTTGTCGCACTCGAAGGCCTGTTAATTACAGTTTTGGTAAGATGTGTGCTACATGTTCAATTTTGTTGCATATGCCTATTGTATTCCAACACCTACACATTCCAATGCACATGACAGTGTTCTCCTGCACATTAACAGAGTTAAATTTACTGTACTATGTTGTTTGTGTATTAGTTGCATTGTTAGGAGTATAACTTATAAGTCAGTACTATAAATTAAGATGATGAGAATGTTTGAGCATGTGTGAGGTGCCTTTCATTTGGCATTATGATGCATAAGGATTGAATTGTGATTAGATATTTCCTTTGTTTGTATGTATTTTATATGATAAAATAAATTCAACCTTGCTTTCATTGATTTTTTTTACTGTATCAGTTTAGTCTTGGTAATTAATGTGCGGCGTTTAGTGTTTACATAAGAAATCTTAAGTACTAAATGGTTATTTCAATTCAAAATGTTCAATTGTTTAGAAATATTTTCTCATTAATGCCAATCAGAATATGTCCAAATTAGATTTAGGTATTTAACACTGAATTGACACAATGGGTGTAAGTACCACATTTGGTTTGATGCTACTCTCAACTAATCAATCAATTGAATACAATCTATTTTGATTTCTTTCTTCTTCTCTCGGCCTCTTTCTGACATCAGTTGGGTTTTGACATTAATCAAGTTCTCTTTGGGAAATATTGCAGAAGCATATGATTATGTTATCGTTCCTTTCAATGGAAGTGGTTTTTGACGGTTTGACCCACGACTCTGTAAGTTTTTTCCCTCACCAATCACCAATAATGTTGCCTTTCACTTTGATTTCAATCTAGCATTTCTATAGAATAATTGCTTATTCATTCATTTATGCTCATAATCAACAATATTAGTTTCTTCTGATAAATGATACTTTCTTATTTTTCTGAAGAAGCGTATGATTTTCATTGTAAGCGACAGATGGACAATGCAAATGTTGCTAACTTTGTGTAATGTTGCAGCCATCTGTTAGAAAGCAGCATAACTCCGGTTATAAACACAAGGTGCTGCGAAGTTTTGTCACTTTTGAAAATTATACTGCATTGCAATCTTGGTTATATTTGTGAGATTTGTTTGATGTGTTTTGTGTTTTCAGGCTAATGTGAGGTCTTACTATCAGCAATTTGAAGAGCAACAAACCCAAAGTTTAATTGATCAGCGGATCAAAGAACATCTCGGGCAAGCTGCTGCGTTTCAGCAGGTTGGTGGGGGCTTATAATCATCTGATGGGTCAGAGGCCGAACCTTCCTCCTGTATTGCCGCCCCCGAGATTTCCCATTCCTGGAGGTCAACCATTAATGCCAGGGTTCAGACCTCTCATGCCTAGGCCACTACCTATTCCTGGGGCACCAGGTGAATGTTTTGTTTTCCCATCTGCACCATTTGCAATTTACACAAAACTGTCGTTGCCTCTTATTCAAGCATTTTATTGTTCTTGTCTTCCGCGTTTTAGATGTGGTCAAATTTTTGTGCATTGTTTCCTTTTCCTCTAACTATGGATGCAGGATCTTTGAGTTCCCCAGCAATCAAGTCCCGATCACGCTGTCCTCTTCAAGAACAATTTCTTCAGAGAAAAAGTTCCCGAGAGAGTGTAAGGAACATTTTTCTATTTTGCAAATCTTTTAAAGGAAGTTATTCATGTCATCAATTGTAGTTGTTATTTTATGTTGAATAATATTTTATGAAGTATATATCATATGGCTTACTTAAATTTTCTGTTTGGATGTATTAGGTTCTAAAAATGGTGACAGATGTAGTTGACAAAAATATTGTTGCAGTATCTTTGCTATCTTTTGTTGCTATCCCCATTGAAATTACTGGAGAGGTAAATCTTTCCTATATAATTTGTTGCTGATAATATAAAATGAATGAACAACAAGACATACTTTCTTTAGCTTGGTGTCTTTTTTATTAACGGCAGGTGGTATTTCTCCATCCTGTTCACAATTGATGATATATCTATTTTGCTACAATTGTTAGTAAATGGAATGTTTCATTCTGTGTTAACTTTTTTTATTCACTATTTTAGTTAAAGGTGAGAATTGTAGTACCAGGGTGGAGATTCTCCGATGGTTCTCATATCTTGACCAACCTCGACGCCAATCCTCAGAAATCACTAAAGGGATCATCAAATCTTCTTTCAAAAACTGTAAGGAAACTTAAGATAACTGTAGTCGAAGCAAAGGATCTAGCGGCGAGTGACATATTTGGAAAATTTGACCCTTATGTTAAGTATCAGTATGGAAAGGTGAGAGGTACTGGCTCTTTTAGCTTTGATCGTACAAGTGCAATGGTCGGGTCATTGATACATTGGGATTTCTACCTTCGTGGTCAGACCAGCACCACAATGTGAAGATTCTCCACTCTGTCAAACACTTTATTAAGAAAACACCACCAGATATTGTGTTGCATCTTGATAGGTTAGATATGCAGAGCCAGGATTTCGGTGATATGTCGCTCTTACGCACGATAATTGACATTTTTGGACCACCCAAATGGTTCAATGCTATTGTGGTTTAGAATCATGCAGCGCCTGCTCCACCTGATGGACCTAATGGTACTCCTTCCAATTATTACATGTTTGTTACACAGCACACCCATGTTGTGCAGCAAGGCATTCGCCAAGCAGCTGGTGATATGCGTCTCATGTTATGAAGCAAGCCTTGGGGTGGTTTGGAATTTTACCAATATAATGGTAATTACGTGGAACATCGGTATAATTTCAAATAATTTTTCCTTGCCTGGTGTTTCTCCTTGGGGTGAGTCTATTTTGATTAAATTCGGAGAGGGCAATGTAGAAGAGAAAGCTAAGTATGATTCAACTTGATAATTATTGTTACTTTCATAGAGTTTCTGGTGCTTTTCGTTCTGGTATTTCATATCTTCGGTTACATTTCATTATGTTCTTATTCTTTTGGCTAAGTTCATTTTTTTCTTTGTTCAGGAGATGCAAATGAATTTGATGGTTTCAATGTTAAAGACTAAGGTATCTTCAATTATCTCCATGTATTTTATATTAGGTTAAAGTTATACCGATTAAGTGACTGGCACATTTCTTATATGACATGGTTTATTTTTATTCTTGATAAAGGACATAATGAGGCAATGATGTTGTTTTCAGCTTTTATAGATCAAACAGGTGGTTAAAGAGCCTTAGTATTGGCAAGGTGTTGTATCTGTTTGAGAAATACTTTTGATGTTTTACTCTACAGATACTTATTATGCAGCTACTTATACACTTTATCTCATCTTATGGCAGTAATTCTTTTTAAAACTACTTGGTTTTTGTATATAAAAAAAAATTGTTATCTCTTATTTTAATTCTACAAGAGTAAAATAGTTGAATGGTAATTGAATAATGTTATACTTTTACCTTCTTCTGAATTCTTTGTGCAGCTGTACTTTAATTGTCACAGTAAGCTACAAGAGTTGTGCACTGAATTTTTAATTCAGAAATAAGAGACTGAATTCCAATGAGTTCTATAGCCATGAGAACAAGACTACGGAACTCTTCTTTGCACAAAAATGAATTTCATTATTTTAATAATTTGTATCACATAATGTGTGTTAATAATTTTTCAGTTCTCCAAGCAAGTGGCACACTTTTTCTGCATTAAATATACTTTTATTTTGTGATACCTGCTTCATGGATTTCCCCTGATATATGATATTTATTTAGTATAGATAACTTCACAAACTTTATTTTTTTGTCTTTCCTTACTCAATCTGATATAATTATTTTCTTACAGGTGAGTCACCTTATGAAAACATTGGGTACATTATCTGGCTACCTTTTTGAATGCAACTACATGCCGTTATCTGATTCTGAACACGACAACTGTTTAATGACTCCTGACTCGGTTCTCGAACTGGCCGGTTTGAACCAGACTTCATCTGGTTCAGGAGGATATGGTGGTATGGATTGTAGAACCACTCTTGCTTGCACTGCAACTACTGAGATAATTAGAAAGAAGAGAAGTGGTTGTTCAGCTTTTCGACCACCGTGTCGGCCAGCATGCTCGTCGGTAATGGAAATCACGGTGAATCTGATGAGAAAAACTTTGATATTTTGATTTTTATGATTATTATTAAATTTGAAAAATTGATATGCAGACTGTTTTAATTTTCATTGTATTGGGTGATTATTTTGTCACATAAGCTTATTTTTTTAGCTTCTTTGATCCGATTTTCTTAAGGGATCAATAATTTTGATCAATTTACTTCAAAATATAATGATGAAAAGTCATGTACTAGAGACATCAAATTTTGCTATTATGGCTTTTTACAGTTCAACAAGATTGGAAAATAGTAAATTTTATTGTAGCATTTGGTAATTTATTCCATGTGATTTATATCTTTTACTCAGTTTGTTTGTTTAATCGAATGCCATATATAGACCTCAAGGGAATAATGTTGAAACTGAGAAGATAAGGAAACAATAGAGGAGCTTACATCTTTCACAGAAGTCAAAGCAAAACTTTGTTTTTTACTTTATTAGGTTTTATCTGCTATTTTTTAGCCCCAGGATTGTCCTTTATTGTAGACAAGGTTACATTTTACTTACCAGATTTTTTTTGGTATTAATGAAATATAACTTATAAATAGATTGTATAAAAATGCGAACTTCATTTATAATAATTATGATTTAGAAATGCATCCAAAGTTAAAAAGGTCAAATCTTGGTTAAGTTGTAAAAACTTAACAATTAAATTTCTGCTTTTTACTATTATTGGTGCTGTAACATTTAGTGTGGAACAAAAGATTAATATGATTTTGAAGTGGTGGATGTAAAATATGTAAGAATCAATTTATCAGAGCATATTTATGATATTATGATTTATGATCTATTCTAGGTTTTTTTTTCTTTTCTGTTTATAGTTTTATTTTGGTGGGAGAGCGCTCAAGTATCATTACTCATTGATAGATTATTTATTATTTATTATGGAGTCATTGAACATATTGAAATAGTCACAATAATGGATATATTTGTAAGAAATAAAACATAGATTCAAGATAACAAATACAGAATCTAAGGAATAAGGAGTACCTTTGAAAATAGTTTACATTTTTATAGATTTTGAATGCCTTTGATTTTGGGTTTAGAATTGAATATTATTGTGGATTCTTCTAATATGATTGTATAATATCATTCATGTGTTCTGTGATGGTTTATCTACTATCTCAATATAAACTATACTATCATCAAATTTAATGATATTTTAACATATCTTTGTGACAATGTAGGATAATGTCAAGAGTATTCTTAAATATACCATGAACATATCACAAAGGACTTTTTTTTATAATTTTTTTTCTTCTTTTTATCAATGCATTAGAAAATAATGGATCATTTTTAAATTATCCAAAAAAAAAATGATATTTATGATTTGCTTGAATGTCTCTTTATTTTTGGAATGACATCTTTGGATAAAATTGTGAACCAAAAGTGTTATATATAGTTATCATATCGTACTTACTTATATTGTATAGGTTGTTATTGAGATTGATCTCTAATCTTGCCATTTATAAGACTCACATTCACAAACAAAATTAGAGTTTGTATCGGATAATGTTAAATATGGTCTTTAGAGTTTTTATTTTTATTTTTATAATGTCAATTTTAAGGTTATGAATGATATTAAGAGTTGAAACCGTTTTTTTTTGCCATATAGAATATTGAAAAAATAGTAAAATTACTGAGATAATATTGAATATTAAGGGTAACATGAAGTTACCAATCAAAATATTGAATATTAACGGAAACATGAAGTTACTGATCAAAATGTAAAATATTAACAATAACATGAAGTAACTAATCAAAATATTTGAATATTAACGGGAACATAAAGTTACTGACAAAAACTTTGAATATTAATGGGAACATAAGTTACTGATCAAAATTTTGAATATTAATGGAAACACGAAGTTGCTTATCAAAATACTTATCAAAATATTTAATATTAACGAGAACATGAAGTTACCGATCAAAATATTAATGGAAACACGAAGTTGCTTATCAAAATACTTATCAAAATATTTAATATTAACGAGAACATGAAGTTACCGATCAAAATATTTAATATTAACGAGAACATGAAGTTATTGATCAAGATATTGAGTATTAACGGGAATATTAGGTTACTGATCAAAATATTGAATATTAATGAGAATATGAAATTATTGATTAAGATATTGAATATTAACAGGAACATGAAGTTATTAATCAAAATAATATTTTTAAACAAATGCGCGTAACACACCGGGACCCGTGCAAACGCACGGGTATTTTTATGACATTGAATATATTCCCTATTATGAAGTTATTATGAAATTTAAGAATGAATTCACCGCACGAGTCTACTACTAGTAGAATTTTAAACTCTTCACCACTCTTTAATTTTATTGTTGTCTGATTATAGAGGATTCTCTTTCTCACATTTGTTTCTTGTCTGATTATAGAGGATTCTCTTTCTCACATTCTGTTTCTTGACTATAGTTTTTAAACTCTGTAAGAAATGCATAAACGGCAGATTAGATATTATCGTTCTGTTTGTCTTGTACTTTATTTATCTTTAAACACCATCTGCAATCATTATAGATTTAAAATATTTCATTCTTCACGTATTGGAAATTAGTCTGTGTTATGTCTATGGTTAACTATTTGAGAACGATACAGTTAAGGCAGGATTTTAATGGTTAAAAAACTTGCTATTCTATTTTATTATTGACTGGTAAAATACAATATCGTTGTATTTGCATATATATACGAACAATAAATTTATATTTAAGCTGAATTAAAATCTGTAGCTCTCACAAAAAGAAGCCATGAATCACGCGCCGCCAGTAGATACCTTGCTCCACAGCAGTACTCATGAATATACTAAACTATACTAGTAGCTAAAAGAAAGATGATCTGATTAAAAATCAACTGCACAACCTGCAAGATAAAAAACAATGAAATTAACTTTCTGGAAAACATACACAAGAAGTGTGAACATAACAAGGAAGTAAGCGCACAACATTTTAAGGAAGGCTTAAAGAATTACTTTAGCTGAACCAAGGCGAAGAGTGTCGAAGACCGTCTTAAGGATTGAAGATACTTGAACCACTGATATTGACAGCAATTAATAGTGCCATGCAGGTAATCACAGCAAGCCAAAATAAAGCTGACCCTGCATTTCAAATTTTTTATTTTCGTCATGAATACGAGATGCTTATGAGTCTTATAAACATTCAGATGATACATATCCATGTTAGACAAGGTTATATTAGAGATATACGAGTACAGTACCTCCAGAACCTTCAGAATTATCAGAACTAGAAGGAGTTGATTCCACATTGGCAACAGGAGATTTTGATACTTTAGATGCTGTATTTGAGCCATTCTCCGAACCTTTGGTAAACCCAGCTTCGGATGTTACTATCCCTTGAAATTCTTCACTAACAATAATTGCAGCCAAAACATCCATAAATGATTCTTTATCTGTTTGGTACATAGAATCTCTTACACCCTTTGGATCAATGACATTTGCTTCTTCTGTATCAGACAACTCGTCATCTGAAGCATCTATATCAATCAAATCCTCCCCGGTCTTGTCATCTTCCTCGTCTTCCACATAGGCTTTATATGTTAGCCTCAGCAATATCTCCCCAGATGACCCCTTTCCTCTAAAACCCCAGCCCCCTTGTAAAACCACAATTCTGTCTGTTGGTACTGTGTCTTGAAGAGATCCCAAATCAACCTGAAAACATGCACATGCCGGAAAAACAAAATTAACTATAAAATCCCTTATTCATTTTTTATTCAAGTGCCAACGTTGAAACTCAATACGACAAAGCCTACCATTGAAGGAGGACAGTTGACAAATGACAAACAAGATGCTAAGCAGCAAGTTCAAAAAAGAAAAAAATTAATTGTACTATCTATGCACAGTAGATTGTGAATGAAGTATAAAACTAATAAGTAGAGAAAATGAGGAATAAAACATCGCACGTATACTTTAGGCATTGCACATAATACATACCTCTCCTGTACCTATACTCAAATCTGCAAATCCCAATGCGTCCTTAACTTGGATATTTAACTTCTGTTTTTTAGGGTTGGAAACTAGCATATGGAAATCCTGTGGTGCTAGCACATATTAATATGAAGAAAAATATCAAAATAGCAAAAACAAATATGAATCAAGAAATCCAAAAACAACACCTGATTCCAAATTGGCATTCCAGGAGGGCCAATGACAGTAGTCTGACTGTTCTTTTTGCTGCGTATGGTTTGATCTCCAAGGCTAAGAATAACATAAGGATCTGTCTTGCCTGAAAAACAGGAAAAAAATTGAGTAAGGTAGACAATACAGCATAATTCACATTATTCCCTAACTAAATTTTAGTGGAAACTGAATAGGGGATAAAACAAAAACCATTTTCACATAAAATAAATTACTAAATAGACTGCAAAAAGAAAATCTATTAAATAGCAAAGAACGTCCCAATGGAGAATAAATAATCCATAAAAGGCAGCAATTTACTTAAAAGAAAATAGTACAAGACAAATAGAATTTACCAAAAAGATAAGGAAGCTTTCTAGCATCCACAAGAGTGACGGATAGTTCACCAACAGAATCCATGTTTCCTTCTTGCATTTCTCCATCTTTAACACCATCAGCAACGGGACCAACAGTGACAGGACCAACAGCTTTTCCCTTCTGGAAGTCCAAAACAATTTTGTTTGGCCGTACAAATAGTCTAGGTAAATCTACTGTAAGAAGTTTGGTCAAAAACCTACAAAAGAAAGGCCAGAATAATAAAATTACAACTAATGACATGAAAAAAAAAACAATTTCCACAGCCAATCTAGAGATAATAAATACTTAAGTATGAAGAGAACATGAAATCTGCGGACTAAAGAGAAACAAAGGAAAACTTAACGTCTAAATTTTAAAAAAATTGAATAGCCATCGACTATTAATCAAATAAATATTTGATCTGGAGTAAAAAAAGTTTCCAAAGTGCAGTTACTTTCTATAATTAGTAAAATTAGCATCAAATGCATGTTCGAACAATACTTTATAGATAGTAGTACCACTTTAAAAATGCATTCACACAAGTGTACACACTCTGCTTCACAAGCATCAATTGCAATGAACTTATAAGTTATAACAACTAAAAAAATAAATGGAACTTACATTGAGAGAACTGGAATTGCTGATCATGCCCAACAATGCACAAAAGAAGAAACAACACAAAAAATGTCAGCAACAATATGTTAGATATTCTTCAAAAATATGTATTTGAAATGCAAGGAAATTACATGTTACCTATGACATATCAAAAACAATAAAAAAAAAAAACTCTATATGATCAAATTAAAATACCAGATGTGAAATGCACCATATCAAAATATAAAAAATCCACTAGTCTTAACCCAATAGCTTAAGCTTTTGGGAGAGTAGTTTCTTCACATTGTATAAGAGCTTCTATGACCAAGTGATCACAAATATAATCATTTCCACTATCACTCTAAAATAAAAACTAATAAATTTAAATGCAACATAGTTGTGCCGTGTAATGTCCATAACATTAAAAGAATCCTATGTGTGGAGATACTTGGGTTCAAAACTAATCAAGAGCCTTTACCTAGGAGAGCTGATTTGTGACACAATGTATGTTGGTGGCAAAAAGGGAGGATACATGGTCTTATTTGTTAAGTTGGTCATTAAGACACCAAATTTGCAAGTAAAGAAGAGGTATCAAACTTTATAACCATTTACAACAACCATACCAACCGATATATAACTCTCATTGGCACCAAGATTCATGTGTAAGTCCATTGTCAAAATATGCTTAGGGAATTGGCACACAATTAACTCACTCATACAGTTATGCTATTCTTTGTCATTCACATGTTTTCATGGTTAGCTAGCACATTGGACCGTGGTGTAGTGTAGATTATCAATTTTTGTCGAGCAGGCATGGATGATATTCACAGTACATCTTGTTTTTGTAATCATTTTCTACAAAAGCTATGTTTCTAATTGATTTGCCTACAAAGTCACTCAGATCCAAGTAAATGTAAATAATATAATTTCTAAGATTTACAAAAAAAAATGGCATACCCATTAAATTGAACAAACGGAATGGAGACAGCTCAAATTTGATCTTTGGAAGTGAAACAAAAGCCCATGAAGCAGCACCGACCCAAGGTTCTGTTGGTATTAGTCGCAATTTTACCCAAAGTTCGCCGTCAATGTCAAAATCTCGAACACCAACTGGTACAACAATTGGAATAATGCCAAATTTAAGAGAAAGACTTAACAGCATGCGGGCACCTCCAGTATACCTAAGGCCTATCTGGTACCTAGATAAAACCATGGAAAATAAATTGCTTATATTAAGCATACAATAATAAAAGGCTAAATAACACAATAGCTTTGGATCTCAGGAATATATATCCAAAAATAGAATTACTAAAAATACTCCAAAATCCAAAACTAATCCTTTCTGCAAAAGATATGATCAAAAACATTACCAGAACAACAATTCTAGTTCAAATGAAGCATACTAAGCTAAAAGATCAATTTTTTCAATATCTGACAGCGAACAAAACATTTAACTTAAACAAAGAAGAAAAACATAACTTATAGCAATCAATCAAGTCAAGAGTTACTAATACAATAATATACTACAATTGAATAAAGCACAAGAGAAGAAAAACATACTGTAAATCATTGACACGGCGAGAAGTCCTGCGTTCAACATTCCTAACGGATAAAGGTTCATCCCCTAAGGAAAATTGCTTAATCTCAACTCGTTCAACATAATCAGGCTTCTCTAAATCATCAATAACAGGTTGAAGCAACCCAATAACCCAATTCTCAAGTCCACCTCTATAAACCTTCCACAACTTCCCCAAAACCATATTCACCCATTCAACCGACTCTTTCCTCTGCAAATCCTTTTCCAAAAACAGAGAAAAACTAGTAGGCACTTGAGGCCACACACCGCGAAAACTATCTTCACTACTACTAACTTTGTTTCTCCTTTTCCTAAAAGTCCACAATTTATCAAAAACAACACCAACAAAGAAAAAAAACACAAACAAACCAGCAATGTTTCCGTTTATAGGAGGCGACGGAATCGGGTGAATCACACCCAATTGAGTTCTAAGCTTATCCACAATCGGGTCCTCTTGAAAAGTAGTGAAGTTCGAACCCAATTGAACTTGTGAATCTTGCAACTTACTTTCTTCAAGTTCATCAAGTAAGAAACTTTTAGCACCCCGTGCAGTGGAACTCGCGTTCAAACTATTAAAACCTTGTTTACGAATGGAAGAGGAGTGAATAGACAATTTTTTTCTTCGGAATTTGTGATATGAGTAATAATTAGAAATAAAGCGTTTCTTCATGGTTTTGGAAAGGGGAAAATTAGAAGGAAAAGCATTGTTGTTGTTGCAGGGACATAGAGAGAAGTGAAAAGTGGGAGAAGCTTGTTGAAGAATCATGAATGGATTGATGAGAAGTGAAGGAACAGAGGGTCATGACAATGAATATGAATTGAAATTGGGACTGTGGAGAATTGAATTGAATTGTGTGATTACGAGAAACGTAACGCAATCGGTGGGAAGAAGAAGAGGCATGGTGTGAAAAATGAGAGAAATTGAATTGAATTGAAGAAAGATTGGACACGTTTTAGTGGGAATTTCAACCTAGAATTTTGGCCTTACAATTTTGACTACGTGGATTATCATTATGACTAGAGTCTCTCAAGAGCTAGAACTACACTTTATGCTTTTCATTTTTATTAATACAAATACACCAAAAAGAAGAAAAACACTACCTTTACTATCATTAACATTTTAATTATGTGCCGACCAAAGTTTTCAATTTTAACCCTTTTTTGGTTACAAAAGTTTTTTAAATATTTGACTTTATCATAACTATTTTAAACTAGTATAATAAATAATCTTCTTGTGATGCAAAACTTTTTATAGATAGTTGTTGCATGATACTCAAATTCTTAAGAAATAAAGTGATTAAAATAAACAAGTTATCTTCTTTTTCACAAGCAAAAACACAAAATTCAATTTTTTTTATTCAAATAGTTATGTTTTCTTTTTTAATTTAATAATCAAATTTATCTATTATTTTTTAAAATGTTCATGTTTCAAACAAACAAAAATTCAATCCAGAGCACATGTTAGATGAATTGACGCCTTATTTAAAACTTAAGGGGTGTCGTCATATGAATTGGCAACTACACATGGTCTAGCCAATTTAAATGGCGCTTGTGTTCAATGCTTAAGAGGAGGCGTCGATTCATCTGGCGCCTGCGTATAAGACTTAAGCGGAGGCGTCAATTCATCTGGCGCCTATGTGTTAGATGTTTTTTTGAGTATAAATAGATGTGTCTTTTACCATTGACTCCACACCTCCTCTCATTTTCTTTTTAATATTTTCTTCACTACCCCTATCATGATTCTTAAAAGAAATAACCATGTATGTTTTTTGAGAACCAAGCCTCCGATGAAGATGTGTTTTTGGAACATCCAGAGTTTCGAGCAACTTTAGAGGAACTTGAAGTGTTGGTTAGACGAAGAGATTAATAATGGTGAAAAAATAAGAAGTATCGAGAGACTTATTTCATACATCTCTATTACTGGTGACAATAATAATATGCAGCGTGCGTGGGTGTGAGTTAAAGATGACAATGATGTTAGAGATATGATCACATCATATGATATTGTTTTTATTGTTGCAATCTCTTAGACATGTTGTGGTATTACGTCTTTTTACTTGATGTTTGTGAGAGAGTTTGTTATTTGTATTGGGAGAAAATTATGTGCATGTATGGACTTCTCAGAGCTATCGTTTCCGACAATGGAGCCCAGATTGCCAGTGTTATGGTCACTGACTTTTGCAGAGATTTAGAATTGTAGACGAAGTTTATATCTATTATACATCCTTAGTCCAATGGGAAAGTAAAATCAACAAACAAAGTAATCTTGAAGGGACTTAAGAAATAGTTTGATGATGCCAAGGGTTTATGAGTAAAATTGCTCCATGAGATATTGTGGCTACGATCCTAGTTTAATGAAGAAGCAAATATGGTCAGATTGGAATTGCCGCTACTCGAAAAATGCAACGACGGGGAGGCGAAAAGAAGGACAGAAAAGTCGCCACCGAACTTTATTTATCCCATGAGGGGAAAAGAAAATATCGAGAAAACCTTAAAAAATAACGGATAAGATGGTCTCGCAACCAAGAACGGGTTTGGAAGCCGGTTATGCGAAGGGAAGGTATTAGCACCCCTCGCATCCATCGTATTCGATGGGAACCATTTGTTTGTCGACGTGTGAAGGTATTTGCTTAAAGTTATTGCTTTCTATGGGTGTTCCTAGAGGAGAGAGAAGGGTTAGAAACAGGGAAAATGAGGGATGACGGGGAAGAACAGACTCAATAGGACTTCGCGGTCCCAGGCCTACGTATTCTCAACGGGTGTGAGAAAGTCAGAGTCGGCGTAGTTCGGGGAACTACAGATATAGGGGGGAATGTGCTCGGCAAGGATTGTGGCCCTTGTGCCTACGTATCTTTACTTAAAAGAAGTAAAGAATCAGAGCAGCCGTAGTTCAGCCTACGGTTAACTTGTGTTTTTGTGGATGATGTTATCGTGCGTATTCTAGCAGTTTAGGTGTATTGCTGCTCGCATGTGATGAGACTTATGCGTTACCTATTTGCGGTAGAACGGACGTAACATATCCTTTTTGAAAAGACTGGTTTTCGCCATGCGAGGCAAGGTGTCACGTTTGATTGGTGAGATTGTTTTTTAGAGGCGAGATAAGTCCTTGGATAGTAATCCCTTGCGGGTAGTATCCAATTCATTATCTCAAAGTTTTTTGTTATGAAAAGGTGTGGCGAACGTAGCGTCTTCGTATTGAAAGACGAGTATCAAGACCACACACACTATAGTGAGTATCCTGACACTCGGAGAGGAAGAAGACTACACTTAATCCTCTCTCTTTAATTCAACACAAAGAGAACTTTGCTCCCTTATTAAGAATGTTTTTGGTTTTGAATGGTAAGTGCTTTTACGACTGTAAACCCTACGGTAAATGTCAGCACTCGGGTTAGGAGAAAGCCTACGCCTAACCACTCCACGACCATTCATGTTTTGTTGTAAAAAGAGTTTGAAAATGCATTCGGTACGGAACCGAGGTTTTAGGAGAAATATTGCGGAGAAAAGTTGTGAAAGAAATACGTTTTCGTATTGAAAGACGAGTATCGAGACCACCCCCACTACAGTGAGCATCCCAACACTCGGAGAGGAAGAACTCTACACTCATTCCTCTCTCTTTAATTCAATACAAAGAAATTTATTGAAAGATGTTTGAAACTGCACTCGGTATGGGACCGAGGTTTTTAGGAGGAAAAGGTGGGAAGAATACAAGCATATTCGTATTGAAAGACGAGTATCGAAATCACCCACACTATAGTGAGCATCTCGAAACTCGGAGAGGAAGAAGTCTACACTTAATCCTCTCTCTTTAGTTCAATACAAAGAGAACTCGATTCCTTTATTGAAAGGTGTTCTGAAAATGCACTCGGTGTGGGGCCGAGGTTTTTGGAAGGAAAGTTTCGAAAAGAAGTTGCGAAAAGATGAGGTGGTGGATGAGGTCGCGTCTTCGTATTGAAAGACGAGTATTGAGACCACCCACACTACATTAAGCATCCCAACACTCAGAGAGGAAGAAGTCTACACTCAATCCTCTCTTTTTAATTCAATACAAAGAGAATTTCATTTTCAAGATGGTTTGATAGCGTCGGTGAATCGAATCGGGACATAATGTGGAGAGAAAATAGGCGGTCTCAGATCCAACGCTACTTTTCAATAGATTGACTAGTAATCGTTTTACGGAAACTTCGTCATCGACCAAAACAGGGAAAATGGGATAAAAATCCCAATAGCAAATGAGAAATAAATTCAGCATATAAATTGAAATAAAGTGAATATGATTTTTTGGATTTTTAATGATAATTAAAATAAAATAAAAAAAAATAAAACCAAATGCTAAAAAGAAAGGAAATGCTTTCCCCAAGGCTTGAACCCAAGACCTTGGGGTCATAGGCTCAAAACTTAACCAGACCAACCACTCTCATGCATGTGAAAGTAAATGGAAAAATGAAGAAAAATATTAAAACATGGAAAAATCACAAAAAGAATAAAAAACGCCCCCGCTGGGGGTCGAACACAGGTTCATGGGCAAAGCAAAGTTCTTAAGACAAGGCAAGCAACCACTAGGGTGGCGATACATCCGTTGTATCAAGCCACCCCAGCTCTACATACACCATACTTTACGCGCATGCTGAGCAAAACAAGAACAAAAAACCAAGTGAAAACTTGAGATATGATTCCATCACAGCTCATTCAAATCTTCACCAATTTCAGTGAAATAAAAGTCTATCTCACTTAATTTTTCCTGAGGATCACAATGGTACTATCAGAATTCTCAAATAATGCACACACAATGAGATTCGATGGAAGATGCAGTTGTGAGCTTTGAAATGCGTTTTGAAATTTATAGATCAAAACATATGCAAACAGGTTTAGAGAAAAACGTGACAAGTTTCAAATATGCAATAGATCAAACTCCAACTGAAATATGTATCAAAAAAACATTAGGACATGATTTTGGCCCATGAGTTGTAATAATGAACATGCCTTGAGCATAACCAAAACAGAATGACCACAACATCAAGCAACACAAATTCAATATGTCAAGAGTCACATTCAAACTGGATCCAACACCTATGAATCTCTAAAACAAATCTGTTAGCAAAAGACCAGAAAGTCATGGAGGCTGTTAAGTCATGGCAACACTTCTCTTATGATCCATAAAACATGATAGTACACAAAAGCATATCCATGGCATATATGAGTTCCAACAGCAACAAGCTATGAGCTTAACACACATAAACCACGAAATTTCAAAAGAGAACTTAATGGCATTAAAGGTTAACCCCCTAAAACAGAAACTGACAGCAGAAAAATGCCACAAACATATCAAGCAATCAACTAATTTAGACAACAAATGAGTTTGTTTATGCAAGCAATGGCGCAACAGTTAAATTGACAATGAAAGGAATGGCAAGACTCAACATAGGGACATCGTGTCTAGCATAAATGCAAAAATCAGTTTCTAACAACACAAGTGGTATAAATCAAGCAAGTTCAAATCAGACAGCCGTACCAACATTACTATAAGTTCCAGAACATAACAATGTTCAAATATTCTAACAAAAGCTCAAAACAGCTCTAAAATTCACACAGTCTAAAGTGATGAGAAAAAACAAAACAACTAATGTGCCAAGACAATGTTGGTCATCCATGTGAATCATTTTAACATAGGAAAACAAACACATAAGACTCAAACTGATATTGACAATAGCAGTTTGGTCATCACAATGTCAACATCCAATAAAGTTCATTTCAGTAAGCAAACAAACT